TCTTTAAAAAAAAAAAAAATAGAAGCACTTGAGACATGTATAAAGCTCGACTTGTGGTGCCCACAAGTCTTGCCTTCTGTCTGGTTTGAAACACCGCAGCCCAAACAGTGCCCGCAGCCTCCACATGGCCGGCTACCCTCTGTCGGCTCCAAGCGGCTGTGCTCTGGTTTTGGTCACTTTCAAGCAACCAGAAGTTTGTTTTAAGTAAAATTGGTGTAGAACTTTGGAAACGAAGAGTTGCTCTACAGTTAGGTTGTTCTTAGTTAATGGCTTTTAAGAAAGTATTTGAACCCTGGAAGGGGCAGTGCATTGAAAAAGTCTACATTTACCACACACAGTTAAACACAGAAACACAGACGTTTAAAGGCCGAAGCACGAGAAGACACCGCCACAGAAGAAAACAACTCTAATGAAAACTAAGGCCACACGGATGATCCGTGGCCTCCCTCCTCCCACAGACCCATGCTAGAAAACCACAACAGCCAGGACCATGAGACACGAGACCACGAGACCACGAAGCCCAAGACAGAGAAGCCGGGCAGCACAGGGCCCAGCGCCCGCAGACGCACAGGTCCGTCCCCAGACGGGAAAGGCCAGCACAACGCCACAGCCATGCAGAAGCTCATGCTCACCCTCCTGCCTCCTCTTGGCGGCGACAGCCCCCTCCACCCCTCCAAGGTCCTCCCGGGAGGACACCCCCCAGCACGTGGGCTCTAAGGGTAAACGGGGGCCTCTCCAACTTTCAGAGGAGCAGGGCGGACCCCACCCTTGAAACCCGAGCAGGCGGCCCCTGTGCCCAAAGACGTGTTTTATTCAACCCCTGTGATGTTTACATGAAAATCACAAAAACAGTTCTGGCTTGTGACTTGTTTCTCCCTCATCCCCACTCACTGCGCGGGGAGGCACCTGTTCTGCCACCTGACCAAGAACTGGGGGCTGGTCACCACCCACAGACTCTTGAGGCCAGGGCCTCACTATTCTGAGCACCCCAGGCGCAGGCAGAGGCTCAGAGGTCTGCTCTCTCACAGCCCCAGCTGCTCCCGGGCAGGAGCTCTGGGCGAGTGGTGGCTGTCGCCGCACTGGGCACGTTAGCGCTCTGTCCTCTGAGCGTCCGGGTCTGGCCTGCCTCCCCCGGGGCTCCTGCCCAGGCGAGAGCCTCCCCACCGCGGAGCACCTGCCGTCCCCTGCCCCGCTCGCTGAGCTGTCCTGCTCGGAGCTGGAGCAGCGTGCTGGAGGTGGCCCTGAGCACACTCTCTTAGTAACTCAGTCGGCAAGGGCCGCTCGTCAGAAGGAAGAGACTCACCTTTTGCTTCAAATTTTCCTATGAGCTGGGCTCCCATCGCCATGGCAACATTGGACAGGAGACAGGAGAGCAGCTTCTGGCTGAGAGTCATCCAGTTGTATCGGGGAGCAACGAAGAAGTATGGGATGTAGGTGAAGAAGTAGAGGAAGCCCCCTATGGCAGCTGCCATGTTGGCTACGGATGGAGAGAAGACAAGTGTGTTGAATGCAGGGGAGAGCCCGGGCTGCCCACCCCGCCCGGCATCGGCCATTGTGTGCGGGGATGCGGGCGCCAGGGCTGGGGGACCCCAGGCTCGGCCCGCGGCCTCTCCTCTTGTCAGGGTGCATGTTCTGCCAGGACCGTGACCCCACCTGGGGCCACATGCCCTCCCTATCCCGGGGACCCACACACAGATGTCCCCAGCCCTCTCCTGCAGACTTCACCCTGACGTTGCACAGTGGACACGGCCCAGCCCAGCCCTGCTTCTCACCTGGTCCGTCCCCTGTCATTCACTCATCCGTTCCACAGACAGGCCCTATGCCGGGCACCGGGGAACCTGCCACAACCACACACACGAGCTCCTCCCCTCCCGGAGCTTGTAACCCACTGGGGGCACAGAGAGTAACGGAGCAGAGCAGAGTGTGCTGGGTGAGGACAGCCCTGTGCAGAGCAGCAAGGCACAGATGGGGACCAGGCGTCCCCTGGGCTGGGGCAGCAACAGTAGCCAGTGGGCCAAGGACAACTGTGACGGGAAGGTAACATGTGGGAAAGGCGTGATGGGGGAGTCACGGGGAGAACGGCATGGCTGCAGTCTGCGCTGGCGGCCTTCAGATGCTCTGGTCGTAAGACCCCTCTATGGTCTTAAAAGTGATTGAGAACATCAGAGAACGTGTGCTCGTGTGGGTCACGGACGCATGTATACGCATACCAGTTCCTGCGGGATCGCGAATTAGTACTAAGAAAATTTAAAGATTTTTCAGAACGATAACAAACCCACTAAAACTGAACATAAGTATTTTCATGAAAGTCAGCTGTATTTCCCACAATTGAGCAAGGAAAGTGGCATTGTGTTCCATATCTGCAAGCCTCTGCAGCGTCCGATTTAAGGGATTACAGCTGTTCTGCGGTCACCCTGTCATACTACGCTGTTGGGGACGAAGCCCCTGAAGAGAACCAGCTTCACACAGGCTGGCAGCTGGACAAGGGAGGGTATGTGGACAGCCTTCTCAGATACTTGCAGCTCTTCTTCCTAGATACAGAGTCACTCAAGTACCACTCCATAGCTGCTCGTCTCAAAGGTCGGCTGCCATGTGGACCCAGACTGACCGATGAGCCTCTCACGCTTGGTTATGTGAGAATCTGCTGGTCTGCCTTGCACTTTGGAGGGGTTATTCCTCAGGCATGATTTCGTAATGTGATGCGTCGGTCGTGCAGAACGTACTGTTTGCTGAGGTACGCAGATCTTCCAAGTGTGGACATGTTTTATTGTACAACATACAGAAAAATCACATTGGCTGATTAACAATCGCCAGTCTCCTAAGAGGCTAAGTGCCGGGACACCATCAAGCTCTGGGTGTCAGCTTCAAGTTCGTAAAATCCTATTTTTCACTTGAAAGCTGTCAGATGCTGTCAGTTGTTCTCCTTAAAAGACACTGCAAATTTGAGAAAAATGCCTGCCAAACACCCAGGTGACCTGAGTAATTATAGTCCGGGGGTGGTTCTTTTAAGCAAAAATGGTGTTCCAGGAAGGAAGGAAGGAAGGAAGGAAGGAAGGAAGGAAGGAAGGAAGGAAAGGGCTCGTTTAGCTGACAACTCAGGCCGCCACCCACAAGCTTTTCCTCAAGACAATCATCACCCTTGAGTATGCAACAAGCACTTTATGCAAACATCCCATTTCATCCCACGGAATGTTTAAAAAGTATACTTAAGAGTCAACGTTTAATAAAATTAATAAATTTTGCTGCTCATCAAGGAGACTTCTGAGTGAAATCAACACTTTTCGTTTGTCGTTTGCTTGCTGGAGCATGCGCGGGGATGACGCCCAGTGCAGCTTGGGGCCTGTCCTGACTGGCACTCAGAGCCCCTGGTTTTACCTTCCTTTGCTTCTTTGCCTGTCAGCGCACACATCAACATGGTAGAAAAGGCAAATGACATCTGGGTATTCTCATAAAAATAGTTCTGACTTTGTGAATCCCCCTAAGGAACTCGTAGGTCCGCAGGAGTCTGTGGACTGCACTTTGAAAACCTCCGACCTGGCTGAAGCAAGAGTGTTAGAAGGCGGTGTGGCCAGCCTAGAGCAAAGGGGCTGGGCAGGGCCTTGCAGCCTCGGCAAAACCTTTGGCTTTCCCTCTGAGTGAGGCCGACGGTCACAGGAAGGATTGAGTGGAAGAGTGCCAGGCTCTGGAGGCTCACACTACTGGCCATGTCCAGAGCTGAAGGGTGGCCAGGGCAGAAGCAGGAAGACAGCTCAAGGCCACCAAGTGAACCCGGCTGATGGGTGGGGCAGTGGAGGCGGTGGGGACGGGGATTCGAGCTGCCCTTCTGCTCGGATGTGGTGCAGAACTTGAGAGAGAGAAGGATGTCAGGGATGATTCCCAAGGTGTTTTGGTGAGTGGCAGGAAGGACAGGGTACTCCCAGCAGAGACAGGGAACGGGCTTCTGAGGACAAGGTCAAGAGGTGGTGATGGACATGCTCGGGTGGAGATGCACGCTGAGCATCTCAGGGAAGTTGTGTGTGAGTCTGAATGTCAGGAGAGAAGCCTCAGCTGGAGCTCAAAATCTGGGGATGAGCCACATGTCCAGAGTCCTCCAAGGGGAGGCGTGTGATAGGAAACACGGGACTTCAGGATCAGGGAGTCGTGGACGTAGGAGCACGTGAAGAAGTGCTTCCTTCTAAAAAAAAGGGGGGGGATGTTTTCCCACAAAAATGGATGAGGAAACAAGAGTAAGTGGATGTGTACAAGAATCAGCTGAATACTCGAAAAAGAGAAATAGGGTAGGAGAAATAAAGTCTTGGTAGATTCTAGAACATTCTGGAACATTCACAGTCAAACAGACAACCAGGGAACTGGAAGACAACCATGAGGAAGTCACACAGACTCAGCACAAAGATTTCCATAAGTATGGAAAAGAAGCTGAGAGACATGAAGGAGGAACACCGCCTCACGCCCACCAGGATGGTTACTACCCAAACCAGAACATGAGGAGCGCGGGTGAGGATGTGGAGCCCCAAGCGCTCTGGGCAGAAATGGAAAGTGGTGGCGTCGCTGTGGGAAACAGCCTGGCAGCTCCTCAAATGATAGGCACAGAACCAGCGCATGGCCCGGCAATTCCATTTCTGGGTACAAGGATGTGCTTGCATGCTCGAGTTCACAGGAGCACGACTCACGGGCGCTGAAATGTGAAAGCAGCCCGTGTGTGCGTGGATGGGTGGGTGGATGAGCAGAATGTGCCCCATCCGCACAGCAGAATATCACACAGCTTCACAACACCCACCAGGACGGGGATGAACCCCAAGGGCAGTGGGCTCAGCGAGAGAAGCCAGCCACAAAGGGACGCGCACTGTGTGATTCCACTCATGTGGGCTACTTAGCGTGGCCACAGCCCCAGAGACAGACAGTGGACGGTGGGTTCCAGGGACGGGGAGAGATGGCCAGTCAGTGCATAGCGGGGCAGAGCTTCAGTGTGGGAAGACGGAAGAGTTCTGGGGTGGGGGTGGGGACGGTCACACCACCGTGTGCACGGGCTTGCTGACACTTGACTGTGCTCAGGAATGGCGACGGTGGCCAAGTGTCAGGTGTACTCTGCCGCAACGAAAAAAGAAGACACAGGACAAAACGAGAGGCCCCAGCAGAGGTCTAGCGGAAGACCGTGCCGCCGATCGTGGAACGCAAAACCTGGTGAACGTTGAGAGCAAAATCATGTGAGATTGAAAGAAGACACGAGTCCTCAGACCATAGCGCTGGTAAAAAGAAAAACCACACCTCTGCTGGGGGCGGCACGCACCTGTGGCCACAGTGTCCAAGCCCGGCGGGGACACGCCCGCTCACGGGACACACCCACTGCGGGGGACAAGCCCCCCCCCGCGAGACACGCCCATAGACGGGGACAAGCCCGCCCCCTCTCAGGGACACACCCGCCCACTGGACACACCCGCCCGCGGGACACGCCCACCCACGGGGACACGCCCACTCGAAGAAACACACCCACCCGCGGGACACGCCCACCCGCAGAGACACGCCCACCCGCGGGACACGCCCACCGCGGAGACATGTCCACCCGCAGAGACACGCCCGCCCACGGGGACACGCCCACTCGCAGAGACACACCCGCCCGCGGGACACGCCCACCCACGGGGACACGCCCGCCCGCGGGACACGCCCACCCGCAGAGACACGCCCACTCGCAGACACGCCCACCCACGGGGACACACCCGCCCGCAGGGACACGCCACCGCGGGGACATGTCCACCAGCAGAGACACGCCCACCCACGGGGACACGCCCACTCACAGGGACACGCCCACACATGGGGACACTCCGCCCACAGGGACATGCCCACCGCGGGGACATGTCCACCAGCAGAGACACGCCCACCCTCGGGCAGCCTTCCCTGAGGCTCCGACATTATACAAGTGGGAGGACCCCGAGAACCAAGTCCAAAGGCCAGTGCAGAGCACAGCCCCTTCCAGCCTGTGGGCTGCTTTGACGCCCGGAAGGGACCTGCCAGGTTTCCTGAGCCGGGGTCGCTGGGGTGCCCACGGTCCTGGGGGCGGGCCGGCTCACCTTTGCTGAAGAAGGTGCTGACCATGAAGCTGAAGGAGACGGATGAGGTGGCGAAGCACAGCAGGAAGACCAGGACCAGCGAGGGGTCGCTGTGAGTGAGCACAGCCACGTCCTTCTTCACCTGCGAGGGCATCCCGGAGGTCACATGGGCAGGGCAGGCCGCGGCGGGGGAGGTGGGGACAAAACCAGGAAGACCTTAAACGTTCTGGCCTCAAACGAAGCTGGTGAGGGTGGGAGAGGGGCCGACTAGCCCCGAAGCCCTGGGCCGCAGCTGGCGTTGCCCCGGGGTGCTGCAGGGCCTCTGGCTCTCCAGTCCCCTCCACCGGCATGCTCTCCACCAGGCCACACTCACCTTGACGCAGAACAGCAGGGTCACGCAGGAGACCGCCACGAGGAGGAAGAAGAAGAAGAGGAGGAACCAGGCGCTCCAGTGCAGCCAGCTGCTGAGCCCCATCATGCGCATGTACTCCTGGGGAGAGAGCCCCACACATGCACTCTGACGCACCTGCTGCCTTGGCCCGGAGCCTGTGCATCCGTGCGGATGTGTGGTGTCGCCCACAGGCCAAGAGGGGACAGCAGTGGGACGCCCGGGACACACGCTCAGCACGCGCCAGGCAAAAGACGTGGTTCACCTGTGCCCTCCTCCCCTGCCCTCCTCCTCCATCTCCCTGGTCTTAGGTGCTGCCCCCCTGGGATGCCCTGCCTGCTTCCGGAGGGATCAGCCCACCTTGCCCCTCACCCAGCGTGCCCCTGCCCTCCACTTAGATTCAACAATCATTCAACATTCCACCATGTTGGTTTTATCTATCAATCTGTGGGCATAAACATTTGCTTCTGAGCCATTTCACATCTGCTGCCAACCCCTTCCACATCACACCATTGCACCGCCGTCCCATCCCACACCCACGCAGACAGCA